GCCTCCGTGACTGCACGAGTTCCCTGAAAGCAAAAAGGGAAAGCGGGCGATCAGTCTGACTGTGAAGATGTGCGCATATACGAAGACGGTAGGAAGAGAAATCGTGGAGCTGTCGCGCTCAAGTAAAGAAGCAATAGCTCCCGCAATGCGGGAGAGCGCATCTTCAGTAGAAACGCAGTCGCGTAGGGACAAGAAGGCGCCACCATCCCGCTGTTACTCGACACTGTTCGGCGTCCACGGATGACACTCGTCCCGTGTAGGTAGGAAGCCGCGTTATACGTGAGGGCTATCCTTGAGATCCTGAGAGGCTGTGTGATAGAGTTTCGTTACGACTTCACGGAGCACGGTTCTCGACCCCGTTCTTCGCCAAAAAGCCGTCTGGGAAAAGCGCGCCTGACGTTTGAAGTATATAAGTCGGTAGTTGGCTTCGAGGCCGGATAGGCCGCCATGCTCTTCAGCTCCGACGACGACTCGTGGAGCTTAAACACGGGTCACGCACTAGGCTCAGATCGCACGGGCTACAAGGATATCCTCGAGATAGAGAACGAAAACATTGCCCAACTCCTGAATGCATGCCTAGACGACCTCGATGCACCCACACCCTGGCTTCGTACACCTATCGCGGCAATCCCGAAGAAAGGGAAGCCTCTCGACGATCCCGATAGCTATCAAACGATAGGAAAGGAATGCCATTTCCTCAAGCTAAAGACGGTACTCTTCCACAAGCGAGTGTACGATGCGGCCGAACGGCCTGGGATCTTTCCACGCTCGCAAAATGGGTTCCGCTCGGGTTACAACTTACCACACAAACAACAACTCATTCATCTTGCGTGCAATGATTGAGCGTGCCCGACACAGTGGGAAATCGCTCTATGTAGGCTTTGTGGACATCGGTAATGCCTTTCCGTCGACCGATCGAGCACTTCTTTGGATCAAACTCCGTCGTATGGGTCTGTCCTGTCGGCTTGTGGACCGGCTACGCATGTTATACGAGCGGATGGATTGTGTTGTCGAGCACGGTGATGCCATCTCAGATACTTTCCAGTCAGATGTCGGGGTGCTAATTGAAGACCCGGCTTCTCCGACTCTGTGGAATCTGTTCATGTCCGACTTTAGACTACCGAGCCACCCGGATGACATGTCCCTCGATGGTGTACCCATTTCTCACATTGAACACGCCGACGATATGGCTTTGGCATCCACGACACCTCGTGGTATGCAACACCACCTCAGATACTTCTTTGAATGGTGTAGAGACAACTACCTGGTAGTCAATGCTCTAAAGTCGTGGCTGATGATCCTCGGTGCTCTCTCTTCGACTCTCTCTATGCTTTACCTTGGCTCGGATCTTGTGCGATACACGGAGAAGCACACATATATTGGTCTCACATTCACATCCACGAATCGTAATCTATTCGCTGTTCATTACACCGAAAAGGCTAAGAAGGCGCGTCAGACAGGGGGAGCGGTGTTCGGAGTCGAGGCACACATAGGTACACTCCCGCCGGTAGACGGCCGAGTATGCTACCTTGCCCGTGTTAATCCACATCTCATCCATGGCTGCGAAATCAGTGTAGGCGTCTATGCACACATAAAAGAACTCGAGTCGGCACAACGTTCGTTCCTTCGCAGACTGCTTCACTTGAACCCCCGGTCGATGACAGCACCTCTTCACTCGGAGCTCAATGTTCTACCAATACGATACCGCAGGCTCGAACTAGCCATCAGATACCTTAGATACCTGACCAATCGGCCAGAAGATTCCTACGCGATGCACGCTCTTCGGGACTCTATATCCCTGTTCCTCGAAAACAAGCAATCATGGCTAATGGACATCCACTTTGCACTGCTCCACCTGGACGTGCCGGTGCAGGGCGATCTACCAAGCTCGCGTGAGGCCTTGCTTGATGGAGCGACAGCAGTCGCACTTGCCAAAGCAGTACATCGGTCGGCTCTCACGTGGATACAGCAGCAGATTGACCGATCAACGCGGCTGTATCTCCTCCACAATCGAGTGGAGCGCCCCGAGGGCGAGACGCGGGCAAGGCGGATCACCCTGTACATGCGCAACTACCTCAAAGTAAGGAACGTCGAGCATAGACGCGCTCTCACACATCTGCTACTCGCCGATCACAACCTCGCCACTGAAGTGATGATTCGGGGTGATCGCTATTATCAAGGGAATGTGCCGGAGCACCTACAACTGTGCAGGTACTGCCACCAGATGCGCTAAACACCGGAGCACGCCCTGTTTGTGTGCGCGGGCAATGTAGAACTCGAATCGATAAGGCGGGTTTTCCTGAATGACGACTGCGCTAAAAGCTCATCAGCATCCCTGGCCTCGAGGCCGCTACGGAGAGCTCAGACGAGAGAGAGTCGGGCTCGTCAGCCGCCGAGTCCTCTGATCCATACAGCGCGTCTAGCCCTCTCCCTCCTTCAGAAGGTCGTACGCCGGTGAGTGCCGGCGACAGTCGCGATGGGCCTGACGCTGATTGCTCTGCAGAGAGCGAGACTCGTAGCG